TAGAGATGGGGTTTTACCATGTTGGCCAAGCTGGTCTCAAACTCCTGACCTCAAGTGATCCACCCACCTTGGCCTTCCAAAGTGCTGGGATTACAGGCATGAGCCACTGTGCCTGGCCCTTGTAACCTTCTTAATGTCATTTCAGAAGCACTGTAAGGGACTCTTTGGCCCTAAATAATTCTCCATGTATCTCTTTATGTCAGCTTGAAGTTCTGCACTTAGGGAGTACCTTGTGAGAGCTAACTGAATTCTCCCTATTAAAATCCAGCAGCTCTGGAAGGATAAATGATATGTCATTGTCAGCAATTAAAATGATCAGTTTATCAGATTTCTTGAAAGCTGCTAGTTAGGTGGGAGCAAATTTTGATTAGAATGCAAGTGGGGTAGATGGAATGATTCACAAACTGGGCATGTGAAAAGCTTCTAGGAAATGGTACCAGGAGCAACAATTGAGTCTGAGATTCAGAGCATTGACTACTTGCCTCTGTAAACCCTCTTTCATCCTGCGTGCCACTGGACACTAGGCTCAATAAGGGGTCAGAATGAGAATGTGAACCTTCCTTCATGATTCTCAAAGATAACATACAATGTGCCTGGCACAGGGCCAGATGCATTTCTGACACTTCGTAAATTCAAGTTTATTCTTCTTTCTCTTGACAAGTTATCTAAAATGTAGGTGCATATTTTTAGCTTGTTTCTTCTCCATCTTTAATTAAATATTCAAATCTTAGGCTTTCTCCAGGGCCTTTTCTTGGGGATCATATCCTTCTGCTTGCAATTGGGTGGCATAATCTGTTTCCAATTTCTGTTTTGAAAACCTCCCTGTACTTCCTCCTCCTGTCATACCATCGTTCATGCTTTTGGTCCCTTTTGTAATTATTTTGGTTAATCATCACGCAATGTAAACTGACTGCATTAGGAGGATGTTGCAAGGGTGTGATTTATAGCATAAAAATATTCCAAAATAAAGACTAACATGCCTGGAAGGGACCTTGGGGTCAAAAGAGAAGGGCAGTGTTCAGTAACACACACAGTACAAGGAAGGCTTTTAAAAAATTAACTCAGTATTTTTCCCATGATATTTTTCAATAGTTTTTTTCCTGGCTTTGGGGAATTTTTTTTAAATGTGTTTTATACCAAAATATTGTGATTTTTTTTGTTTCTAAATGCTAATGAAGTGTGAACTGATTTCTCTTATGAAAGAGCAAGAGAGGAAACTAAAATAAAAATCTTGGGAAACTGATTTAAAGGAAAAAGACATTCTAGAGCTAGCATTGCAGCAAAGCCTTCTTTGTGAGTATGTGAGATGCTATAATAATGTAACCTGGAACAAAAACACAAAAATTCCTGGAAATGAAAAAGGAAATTACTCACATCAAACATTCACAACAGCACAAGAGGTCCTGTAGCTCTAATGAATTTAAAATGGAAAGATATTGGAGGTGTAGATAGTGTCACTGATCACAGGATGAGTGTGAGCCTTCAGCCCACAGTTAATTCCCACTTGGATATCACTCAGAAAGATACTCTGAAGAACTTTCTGCTATGTCTCGGCAACTGGGGATAATAACTCTCTATTAGCCAAAAGTCAGCACAGCAAAGAGATGAATAATGTGCTCTGGGTGTACCATTCTCCCTCCTCATTCTAGGTGTGTTTGTTTACCTGGCAAAGGAGAACTTTCTTTATTTTGCCAGAGTGCCCTTTTCTTTTAGGGGACAACTATTTGTAGAAATTGCAAGAATGTGGATGTGGAGAAGCCATTAACTACCCTGCGGGTGACAGAATGCATTTGCACATTGAGAACAGGCAGAAAAGCCAATCAACTGATATTCCTTGTCTAGATAAAATAAAATAAAATAACCAGGCCACATACAGCCAACAAGTTTCAGATGCCAACTCAGTTTGATTGCCTGTAGCCTCCTGGAGTGCTAGACTGACAATCAGTTTGGAGAGAAAGAATTGCAGGATGGATTAGGCAGGGGCATGGGAGAGGGAAGAGGGATGAAGAGAGCTGATGAAAAAGAGTATGTGTTGATTAATCGCCATTTCTTTTAGTCAAGCACAAAGAGCATGAGGCCATGACTCATCTTCTAGTTCAAGAGGATGAGGACTCTGCATAGGTACGGCAGAAAAGAATCCCACTTTGCAGAACTCATAAGAGCCAGCCAAGAATGCAGCTTTGGGAAAATGCAGCATTAATTATAGAGTGAATAGCAACATGGAAAGCAGATGTAAGAATGCCAGCATTTCCCATGACTGAGACATAAATGCTTATGCCAGTGCAAAGCTGTTCTCTAGTACTCGTATAGTAATGAAAATAACCAGAGTATTTTAGAGCACTAATAGTAATAGACATATGAATAAAATCATGCTATTGCCTTACAGATTGCCTGTGTTCATTTGGGATGCTATAACAAAATATCATAAACTGTGTGGTTCATAAATAACAGAAATGTATTGCACACAGTCCTGGAGGCTGGAAAGTCCAAGACCAAGACACCAACAGATTTGGTGTCTAGTGAGGTCCTGTTTCTGGTTCATAGATGTTGCCTTCTAATTGTGCCCTTGTGTGGTGGAAGGGGCAAGAAAGCTTTTTAATGCTGCTTTTACTAATTTCATTCATGAGGACTTTGTCCTCATGGCCTAATCACTTCCTGAAGGCCCTTCCTCCTAATACCATCACCTTGGGGGTTAGATTTTCAACATATGAGTGGAAGGGGGTGAACATCAGTATTTCGACCATAGGACATATACATTTGTCCAAATTACAAAGCAGTTTTTTACATGCCTATCTTAATAAATCCCTACAAGAACCACATGAGGCTTAAAGAGTTTAGTGGCATTCCTAAGTAGTATAATCTACCATTAAAATGTTAGAAAAGAGAACAGCTTGCACATTCTGATGTTAGATCTTGTGTTCTTTAGATTGCACTGGAGAATGTCCTATACCATGTACATATATGGTGTGTGGTCTGTAACATGTTGTTTTGATATAATGTAGGTATATAGTGAAATGATTATTATAGTGAAGTGTTCTAAATGTAGGTTTTGCCATTGTGTAGTGTTCTAGCAATTCAAATTACAGTTTCAAAAATATTTATTCTAATCAGGGAAGAGATCAGTTTAAATGCCAATGCACAAAACATTAAACCCTCAACATCCTTACTAATTGAAGGTGCTTTTCTCAGATTTCTTGCTCTATTAGCACCTTAAAAAGGTTCCAGACTTGATACAAAACTCACCCTTTTTAATACAGTGTAATGAAAATGACAACTGGATGTGAAAAACAAATTTGGATTAAAGTAATCAAATAAAAAATGTTCTTATTGATGGCTACTTATTCCAAGAATAGCTTAGTAAATAATAATTTGAAGGACATGATCAACTCAGCAAACAGGATTTTTTTCGGATGATAAGGAGAGAGAAAAGTACAAGAGTAATTTATTTTTAGTGAATATGCATGATACACAGAGATTGAAGATTGGAATATACACATTTTGGATGATCAGAGGAAGCATAAAAAATAAACTAAAATAGGCCAGGTGTGCTGGCTCAGCACTTTGGGAGGCTGAGGTGGGCAGATCACGAGGTCAGGAAACTGAGACCATCCTGGCCAACATGGTGAAACCCCATCTCTACTAAAAATAGAAAATTAGCTGGCTGTGGTAGCATGGGACTGTGGTTCTTTTTTTTTTTAATTGTTAAAAGTGAATACAATTTTATTTTCTCCTTTTTAAAAAATACATATATTTTATTGCATTTTAGGTTCTGGGGTACATGTAAAGAACATGAAGAATTTTTGCATAGTTACATACATGGCTATGTGGTTTGCTGCCTCCATCCCCATCACCTATATTTGGCATTTCTCCCCATGTTATCCCTTCCCAACTCCCTACCCCCAACTGTCCCTCTCCTAGTTCCCCCTCAACAAACTTCAGTGTGTGATGTTCCCCTCCCTGTGTCCACGTGTTCTCCTTGTTCAACACCCGCCTGTGAGTGAGGTCATGTGGTGTTTGATTTTCTGTTCTTGTGTCAGTTTGCTGAGAATGATGGTTTCTAGGTTCATCCATGTCCCTACAAAGGATACAAACTCATCGTTTTTTATGGCTGCATAGTATTCCATGGTGTATATGTGCCATATTTTCCCTGTCCAGTCTATCACTGATATGCATTTGGGTTGGTTCCAAGTCTTTGCTATTGTGAACAGTGCTGCAATGAACATATGTGTGCATGTGTCATTATAACAGAATGATTTATAATCCTTTGGATATATACTCAGTAATTGGATTGCTGGGTCAAATGGAATTTCTATTTCTAGGTCCTTGAGGAATCACCACACTGTCTCCCACAATGGTTGAACTAATTTACACTCCCACCAACAGTGTAAAAGTGTTCCTATTTCTCCACATCCTCTCCAGCATCTGTTGTCTCCAGATGTTTTAATGATCGCCATTCTAACTGGCATGAGATGGTATCTCAATGTAGTTTTGATTTGCATTTCTCTAATGACCAGTGATGATGAGCATTTTTTCATATGTTTGTTGGCCTCATATATGTCTTCTTTTGAAAAGTGTCTGTTCATATCCTTTGCCCACTTTTGAATGGATTTGTTTGCTTTTTTTCTTATAAATCTGTTTTAGTTCTTTGTAGATTTTGGATATAAGTCTTTTGTCAGATGGGTAGATTGCAAAAATTTTTTCCCAATCTGTCAACTGTTCATTGCCGGTTCACTCTAATGATTGTTTATTTTGCTGTGCAGAAGAAGCAAGCAGTGGGGAAAGGATTCCCTGTTTAATAAACGATGTTGGGAAAACTGGCTAGCCATGTGCAGAAAGCAGAAACTGGACCCCTTCCTGACACTTTACACTAAAATTAACTCCAGATGGATTAAATACTTAAATATAAGACTAACATCAAAAAACCCTAGAAGAAAACCCGGGCAAAACCATTCAGGAAGTAGGCATAGGCAAGGACTTCATGACTAAAACACCAAAAACATTGGCAACAAAAGCCAAAATAGACAAATGGGATCTAATTAAGTGCCTGTAGTTCTAGCTTCTCCAGAGGCTGAGGCAGGAGAATTGCTTGAACCCGGGAGGCAGAGGTTCCAGTGAGCTGAGATCAGCTCCACTGCACTCAAGCCTGGCAACAGAGCAAGACAGAGAGAGAGAGAGAGAGAGAGAGAGAGAGAGAGAGAGAGAGAGAGAGAGAAGGAAGGAAGGAAATAAAGTAAAATATTGGCAGTAACTGAATGTAAGATGATTCTAGCTTTTCTCTTCATTCTATTATTATCTACTTACCAACTTTCTGTTTTCTGCACTAGGTATATAATCTATAAGACCTGCATGTTGTGTTCTTTGTAGGTATGATATCATGAATCTGCAGTACACTGAAGCTAATCGCTATGACTATGTGCATGTTGGAACCTGGCATGAAGGAGTACTGAACATTGACGATTACAAAATCCAGATGAACAAGAGTGGAATGGTGCGGTCTGTGTGCAGTGAGCCTTGCTTAAAGGGCCAGATTAAGGTAAGCCAAAAATGCGTTCATGCGTGGTATCTGTGAGAAGGTCATCTGCCTGGACATTAGTAAAGAACAACACAGACAATTTTAAAATCAAGACTGTCCAGAAAGGGTGTGCCAGGCTTACGATTTTTAGCTCTTGTGTTTAGCTAAAACTGAAAAGACAAAGATTAGGAAATAAAGTAGGCAAACTCTTAGAACATTTGCATAGTCTTTACTTGAATCACAGTGATGGGCTGGAATCTTTAATACAATCTAGGCAGGAAAGGGATGAGTAATCAAATTTTAAAACTCGAAAACAGAAGTAAATGTGAAAACCAAAGCCAGTAATAGTGCTTAGTTATAGTTCTAGCTATTGTTAAAGAAAGAAGCTGAACAATGCTAAATAAGCAAATAACTAAAATACCAGAAGTTGAAATAAGGTAACGCAGACTGCTTATCATTTCCTTTTCTCTACCAAGTCCTTTGATTCTTTTGAAACTGGCATGTTTTTCTATACAAGACAGAGTCCCCACTTTCTATTTTCTGGAGCTATTTGGAGAGTGGGGTAGGGCAAGTGAGTAACTATGACATCACTATATATAGAAAATGACAATAAACAAGCATCAGATCCTTGGATGTGCTAGAGAGCCTTCTTGATGAGGAAGGCATGGAGGCAACACTCTCCGTATCCCAGGCTATTTAAAACCAAACTGGGTGATGCACTAGGGAATGGAGCATACAGGAGGGATTGTGAATGGCAGGGTATGGATTAGATGACCTAATAGGTCTTTCCCATCCCTAATTTTCTGTGATTCATCTTGAGGCACAGATAGGCTGTCACATAAATGTCTCACAGCACAGCTGGAGGTGGGGTAGATCAGGCGTGAGGCTCTGGTTCCTGTCATGCTGACGTGCCACCATGCCATTCTTTGCTTGGGAGCTGCAAAACCACCCATGCAGGGAAGGTGCTCTGAAAAGCTCACTGAATGGTGTCCAGGGCAGGAATCTAGTCATATAATTCTAAGTTTTAGACAAGCTGGACAAGCCTTATCTCAACCCACCAGAGGAAATGCAGGATCTGCAACCTGTAACATCTTTTGGCAGCTGAGAAGAGCTATCCTGGTGGACTCAAATTCTCAGACACTCCAGCTGCCTGGACAAAGAAACAAACTTCTGAGATGAATCATCCTGGTTTCAAGTATCTTGTGCCTTCTCTGCAGAAGCTATATTAAAAATATTTAGTAGTTGTTATGACAACCAGTCAATCAGCATAGACTCCATTCTCATGCTATTACAGGGTGCTGGAGGCCTCCTGCCATGGCTGTGGTGAATCTTTGAGTTGGTGGATCATGGGAAGATTTGGTCGATGTGTCCTACATGAGTCAGTGACTGGGGTTGTGTGGGGCATTCAGGAGACACAGAGACACTGCTGGCTTCCAATCAATGCAGAAGTATTTCAGTAGTCTACTAATATATAAAAGTAGTATGTATGGGCTCATTCCTGTCTAGGTGGAATATTTCTGCATGAGGTTGCTGATGATATAAGGTATGATCTCGGAAATCCAGAGGCCCACATTTCTCCTTGCCTGTTGTCATGAGATGCCAGACCAAGGCATTCTGGTTGCATCATCTTTTCTGGATCGTGGGAAACAACAGGGTATCTGTGGACCGAAGTCATAAGGTGCGGGAGGAGAGAAGCCCTGAACTCATATACTTCTGCCACCCAAATGACGTCACATGTTGGCTCAGGCTGCCTCTCCAGTGTGGTTGTAGCATTGAGTCTATTGTGCAGACAATCACTGGGAAAAGGTTTTTGAAACTATAAAGTTCAGTTTTACAGGGTATATGGAAGACATGAAACCTGGCAGGAAAAAACAAATTGTTGCAAGAATTCGCTGTCCTCAAGCTCTCTTTCACAATGTTGTTACCCTGACTGCCAGGGGACTGTGAATGGGCACTCACATACCATGTGCATTCCCCTTTACACCGTCCAGGAGAGCAGCCTTTGTTCTCCCCAGTTCGGGGCCAGGCTGTCCGCCTATGTCCCTGCACCTAGACACTTAACTATTTCTGGCGTGATGTTTGTGCTATCCCATGCAGTGTTATCGAAGGAGACCCCAGAAGTTGTTGCTGAGCCATTACAGAGCGTTCATTATAAATGCAAAGCTCTTGAGGGTCAATTTTAGAAATATGGTATACCCTGCAGAAGGAAAATATATGTGTTCTCAATAGCAACCTGGAATGGAGGTGAGGGGAGATGTTTGTTTTGTTTCTCATAAGCGCCTTGGGAGATATGGAAACAAATACAATTTGAGTCCCATTGACCAAATAATTGCACATTCTAACATCACTAATTTGCCACCCACCAGGCCCAGGATGCATACAGCCAGATCAGTAGCCATTGTGAAGAAATAAGAGAAACAGGCACCTTACAAGGTGACTGTAGGAGATGCTCTGGTATTAACTGGGAGATATAACCATTAGGAAAGGTTACTTATTTTAAATATCAAATATCATTTAAACTGCTAAAATAATTTGATGTCTTTTCTGATAGCCCATAGAACTGTCTTATGATCATTCCTTTGAAGTAGTCAAAAACCCAGTGTTCTTTTGTTATTGATTTTTAGAATATTTTTAGAAATACAAATATAGCCTATAAATATAAAATCTTGTGGAAGAAGAGAATAATTTTGGTCAAACCACAAACACCGATGAATAAAATAATACTTTTTATTGTTGTGTGTTACCTTAGGGTACAGTCAGAAAAAATAAAGAGACCATGTCAGATGATTTAAAAGGGGAAATTTAAGAGGAGAAAATGGTTCCAAAAGTAAAATGGAGTACTGAGGCAACTCAAAGATGACGAACAGCAGCATCTATTCCCACTCCAGAGGCAGAGGGACCCTGGGAAAACTCACGGCTACTACCTCTGAGCTATCCCTGAAGTGGAGAGTGAGGGCAACCTGGCTTTTCTCTTCTCCTTCTCTTCTGCCTCCCATTAGTTCCTCCTATTTCACCAAATCCATCCAGAAGACAGCTGGCAAGAGATCCTGGAAAATGTAGTTCACAAGTATCTTAGCTCAGGTTCCCTTGAACCCTACCAACTACGCAAGGCTTAATTGGTAATGCATTCATGGAAGCTTCAATCCTAGAGAAACAAGAATGAGGGGGAAAGGAAAGTGAGATATGGAAGGATGGGGGAAAGCAACACAAAACAATGTGACACATTATTGAGCAGGAGATTGCTTCACTGAGGATAACTAGTCATGTGGCCTCAAGAGGTCACTGCACAGGCTATTCAGACTATTGGAGGAAGGACGGGAGAGGAACGAATGTGTTCCCTTCATCCTAGTTTCTGCTTCGTGTGGCCAAAGTTTATGCTCACAGGAAGTTACATCACCTGATCCCTTCAGGCAGCTCCTGAGGAAGCCAGCGCCCATGCCTGGTAATAGCGCTTCTTCAGATTCTGGAAGCAGTGTAAGGAGTGACAGCCTACGTGGGTCTCCTGTGGTCTGGTCTGGGCTACTGCTATGATGAGTCCAACAGGGACAGTTCTGGAGCCCAGAGCCCACTTTAAGGGAGGTAGAGACAGCTGGAGATGACAGAAGATGAAGGAGCAGTGGTCGAGGCTACAGTGGCAGTCATAACAGCAACATCTAGAATTCTTCAAGTGCTGAGAGCCAAGGGCCCAAGACACAAGTGCAGCCAAAGAGAGTCTGGGGCAGCACATAAAATCTGAGCAATGTTATGCAAGCAAACATCAGGAGCCTGGTGTGTGTGCTGGTCTCACATACAGAACCCACTGCTGTTTTCCTTGCTGTAGTAAAGGACAGGAAAGGGGTAGGAAGGGGAGGAAAGGTAAAGGAAAAGAAAGTGCTGGAAAAGAAAAGGGAGAATAACGGAGATCAGGGACTAACATTGGTTAATATGTTCTTAGGCAAGTACAACTGATACTTTACAGACATCCCTTCAATTACTCTTTGAAACGACCCTTTTAAAGCAGGTATTATCATCCCCCCATTTTATAGATGAGGGTTCTGAGACCCAGAGGGATTGAGTCACTTGCCCCTAAGCTCTCTCAGCTAGAAAGTGCCAACGCTGGGCTTGGAGCCAACTCAAAGCTGTTACCATCCCACGGACACATGTTTTTCAACTATCTTTCATTATGTGAACTGGCACATTTCCTACAAATGCATATTTCAGTTTCTAAGCCTTATTTTTTCAATAGCTCACAATAAAATCATAAGTAATGGTCCACTTTTTAAAATGCTGAGGGAACAGAATCTATAATTCAGGAAACAATATTTGTGAAGGAGGCTGGAAGACTTTAATAGGGGCCGAGACATTGGCACAGCAGTGAGGGAAAGGATACTGAAGATTGATTTCACTGGCCTCCTGTTCTTTCTTCCCCTCTCTCCTCTCCCTGCTCTCTTCTGCTTTATTTTTCCCTTAAGTTTGTGTTTAAATCCTTTTCTCCAAGATGTTGGTTTGGGTTGAGAGGTTGGGGTAAGAGAGTGGAGATAACCATTACTTCCTCCTATCATCGCCCAGCCAATTTATGACAGGATTCTGAAGATGTTGGGTGAATGTGGCATACATCATAAATGTTTCTCCTCATTTACACATGCCCTATTGTTGTACAGTAAAGTGCCACCTTATTTATATAGAACAAAGTCCACTTATACATATCTGATACACTGTTTATTTTTATTTTTTATTATACTTTAAGTTCTGGGGTACCTGTGCAGAACATGCAGGTTTGTTACATAGGCATACATGTGCCATGGTGGTTAACTGTTTCATTTATGAGACAAGACATTTCATCTGATTTGTTGGAATTATCTACTGGAGAAATAAAATTTTAGTTTTAAAAAGCATTAGAAATGTGCCTTTTAAGAGAAAAAGGCTGTTTAAACCTCTAGAGTGCTCCTGGCTCAATTTCAGCTTCTTATATGGCTGTGACTTTTCCATGGATGAGCAAAAAGGCCAAAGGATGGATTCATTGAGTATCAAAGCAAAGGGAA